TATTCTCAGGAAACCAGATGCCTGCTCCCACAGGGCTTCCACCAGGGTAGTGCTGCAGGCGCACGCTGCCGTAGTCGCAGGAAGACTTTGAGGATAATTGGGGATGAGGTGTCCCGCCCTTGTTGCCAGAGATTGAGCCTCGATTCCGGCCACGTATCGAACCTCACTTCCGGCCACGGATCGAGCCTCACTTCCGGCCACGGATGGAGCCTCACTTCCGGCCACGGATCAAGCCTCACTTCTGATCATCCGTGACAGCCATGCCTCGCATTGCCACAGTGACGTTCAATTCTTAAACCACCAGTACTTGGCCGAGCTATGGGCCGCAGAAAAAAATAGAGTAGAAACGTTTCTAGTTGGATGAATTTGGGCGCTCCTGTAGTGGCCCGTACGTTTCCTAAAATTGCGTAGCGTTAACTACTTTAGGAAGTACTGGTGGTTTAACTGACTACTATTCATTACCATCGTCCCCCAAACACAAAGCACCCTCATCAAGACTGTATCAGTCACGAAAGATCCCTTGTCTACATTCATGATGAGGGTGCGTTGTGTTCGGGGTGACGACGGTAGTCTGCAAGGCAAACAGGTGATGGTGCAAACAGCCATGGTCGGTTTCTGTTGCAAGGCCTACCGTCGCCCCCAAACACAATAGGCCTCGCCTCACCGAACACAATAGGCCTCCCCACACCGAACACAATAGGCCTCCCCACACCGAACACAGTAGGCCTCGCCACACCACTGTCTAAACGAAAACAGTACGATTGCATCTTCCCGCAGAGAATGGCAAGATGCATCCGTTACTCTGAATAGAGTAACGGATGCACCTTACCAATTTCTGCAAGGAGATGCATTCGTTCTTTCTTCGTTTCAACAGTGGTCTGGTGTGGCGAGGCCCAATGCGTTCTCATCATGACTGTATCCCAAAAAGGACGGATAGCTTAGATATCCATTTTACGATGCGTTGTGATCGGGGGGAAGATCGTATGTGACGTCACAGAGGACGTGGTTCTATGTACTGTTTGTATCGACCTGCCGCACGCCAATTTGAAAATGAATGCGATGATTTTAACCAGAAGGGAAGAGGTCAGCGGAAAGGCGATTTTGAGGAAATCCACCAGTGAATCTCTCAAAAAGAGCCGCCAACGGAAGGATAAAAAAAATAGGCGGGGCTACAGTACATGGGCCTCGTTCCACTACATTACACTTCACTAAAAAATCAAGTGCGGCGCCGTTCCACTATGACGCACTTGAGTTTCACTAATCACATTCCGGACGTGATTAGCGTTCCCGCCCTTTCTACAGTGTGCGATTAGTGTTCCCGCCCTTTTTACAGCGCGGTTCCCGCCCTTTATACAGCGCGGTGTGATTAGTTTTCATTCCGGACGCGATTAGTGTTTTTTCCCGCCCTTTCGACAGCGTGTGACTAGTGTTTCCGCCCTTTTTACAGCGCGGTTCCCGCCCTCTTTAAACAGCGCGGTGTGATTAGTGTTCCCGCCCTTTTTGCAGCGCGGTTCTCGCTCTTTATACATCGCGGTAGACGTGATTATCGTTGCCGCCCTTTTTACAGCGCGTGATTAGTGTTCCCGCCCTTTTTACAGCGCCGGTAGCAATCTCAACTCCAGTGCAGGTGTAGTGCGGGCAGATTGGTAGAAAATGGCGGGAGAACAAATCGGGCAAGGGGACTTGAAATTGGTAGAAAACGGCGGGAAAACATATAGTTAGAAAACGGCGGGAGAACAAATCGGGCCGTACATACAACACTTAACGGAACCATCAACTGAGCCCCCCACTAGGGAAATAAAGCGAAAACAGAAAAAATGGGAGGCGATTTGAACGAGAACAGAGCTTTCATTGTGGCAGTCCCCTTCTAAGCGATTTTATCGTATCTCAACGTCGTAAAAGAATAAGAATGGCAAGACGACATCACGGTACGCGAACGACATTCTCCTTTTTCCTTTCTTTCTCTTATTTTGGACACCAACGACATGTTTCGTGCCGTTTGTTTCCAAATAAGACGGTTTCGCGCGCATTTCTGAGAGGGGGGTTGGGGGAGGGGAGGGGGAGGACATGGAAAAAAAAACAGACCGCTCTTCAAAAACCTATTTTTTTTGTTACTTCATCTCGTTTTCGATGTTTTCGATGTTTCCGATGTTTCCATCTCCATGCATTTTCTTCGGTCTTGATCCGTCGACCGACCATCATGATGGCGAACAGCCCGCTCGCTGTTGACGTCCGCGCTCCCAATCGACGGATCAGATCGACTGACCACCATCAGCGGTTCAGGACATAGAGGTAAACTAAACATGTCAGGGAAACCTAACAGAACCTGACACGATGGACAAGAAAAAAAAAAAACAAAAAAAACAGGCGATGAACAGAACCCGACACGACGGACAGAAGACAAAACAGGCAATGACCGGCAAAAATCAATAATGGAATCTTCTTGTACTTCGGGACGTCCGTTAAAAATGGAACGATACAGAGAAGGGTAATTAGCAAAAATGGCCCCTGCGCTTTCAAGGATGACACGCATAAATCGAGAAATGGTCCAAATAATGGAATCTTCAAGCTATTTTCGATTCATTTCATTAAAAAATGAAAAAATGACTACTACTCTTTCACTGCAGGGATGCAGATCGACATGTTGTGCTTATAACGAAGGAATGTACGGACGAAAAGATCAGCAGATTCAGCACTGATGGAGATCGGAAAAAAAAAAAAAAAAAAAAAAGCTTTTA